CTATTTATTTTCTCTCTGTTGCCTCTCTCGTCCTTAAGGCATTGAACGGTTTCATGGGATGAATGGTTGTTGTTTGTATCCCTGTTGTGCAGACTGTTCATTTACTCTCTGTTGCCTCTTTTTCCTTAAGGCATTGAACGGTTTCATGGGATGAATGGGTGTTGTTTGTATCCCTGTTGTGCAGACTGTTTTGGTCCTCTCTGTTGCCTCTCTCTTCCTTCTCTCTACATTTGCAAGCGCCCCAATGTGCCTCTATCCGCGCATCTCATCGCCCGGAAGGGTTTCCTCCTGAACCCTAAACCCTACACCCTTGTCCGCATCACAACCTCTCAGAGCGACCAACACATGGACGCCATCCACCCACGCGCTCGAGCAGCCTCCTTCTCACAAAGTGGGACGGACACGCCGAGCCACAGAGCACCATTGCACTGTACGACCGAGGTGGAGAAGATGGAGAGAAACATACGCACCCGCCGGTACAGCCTACGGTCACTGCTGTCCAAGATATCACGCACGGGCATGCGTTACGACATCGCCAAAAAGTGTTCGTCGTGTGGGGACGATAGGGACGAGCCCTCCGCACACCACGTGGCCCAGCAGTTGGCCTTCTGCGCCACGTGGGCACTGGACAATTCCTGTGAGTGCGCGTGCTGCGTTTGGGGTTCTTGGTTGGTATTGGTTTGGTGAGAGTTTGGTATTGTTTGGTTGGGTCTTGTTTTTGATCGTGTTTTTGGTCTTGTTTTGGTATCGTTTTGATACTGGTTTGGTCTTGGTGTGATATATGGTTAAGTTCTGCATTTGGGATGCGTGGTTGGCGTTGATGTGATGTGCGGTCGGGTGCAATAGTCTCTGCCGGAGACTATCATGGTGTAGTGTCTGTGTGTAGTTTAGATGCCTGTAGAAACAAAATGCGCTAGCCAAGCGAATGAGCGGGTGTTGTTTGTTGCCTCGTGTGTATGTGTGTGTGTGATTATTGGTTCTTGTTTGTGTCATATGTCTTGAGGCCTTTGTCCGTGTGTGTTGTTTGTTGCCTCGTGTGTGTGTGTATACCTGAACGTATATGACTCATACGTCAAGTTTGGGTGAATATATTCATACCGCTGTTTCTATAGACGTGAACGTATATGACCCATACGTCAAGTTTGGGTGAATGTCTTCATACCCCTGAACTCATAGACATGAACGTATATGACTCGTACGTCAAGTTTGGGTGAATGTTTTTATACCCCAGTCTCAATAGACGTGAACGTATATGTCCTATACGTCAAGTTTGATACTCCTGTCTCTATAGACGTGAACGTATATGACTCGTGTGTCAAGTTTGGGTGAATGCTTTCATAATCTTGTCTCTATTGATTTGAACATGTATGACTCATATTCAAGTTTGAGTGAATGTTTTCATACTCTGTTGACTCATATGTCAAGTTTGGGTGAACGTTTCCATACTCCTGTCTCTATATACCTGTGCACATACGCGTACGTACACACATATTTTCGCCCACCACACCCATAGCTCAGTGTACCCTCTCTCACCCCAACAAACAAAAACACACACACACACACACACAGTTTTTGCGCTGGATGATCTTCTGCTCTCTCGCCCGTTATTGCTGGGCAAGCCGTATATGTTGGACCACAGTGAGTGTGGGAGACATGTCAAGATATCAGCCGATGGCCTGGAGGTGCGCAATGACACGCACGAGTTCGAGAGTATCCGCGGGGGCATGGGCGTGAGCCAGGGATGCTACTACTATGAGACCCAGGTGTGTGTACCGGGGGATGCTCCTGTTGGTTACCCGGTGGTGACCGCGCTTATTAGATGCGTGGTAATGTGTTTAGATTGCTTTTGCAATTGTTTTATTAGATGGTTGGTTGTGCTTGTGGTTTGTTTCTGCGGTTCGTCTCCTATTGTTCTGTATTAATGTTCGGGTACTATGTAGTGATGTGGTGTTTTGCGTTGAAACATCAAGTCTTCGATGAAATGCGGTCTAGCTCCCTACTGGAAAATGCGAGTCATTGCGGTGTTGTCGAATGTTCATGTATGTTATATACATGCAATATACATGCTATATCCATGTTATATACATGCTATATACATGTTATATACATGCTATTTCATAGTTATGATTGTGGCCTTTTGGGCCCCTTCCCTACACCGAGATTCTGTCTACGCCTGAGCCTACTGTTGTGGCTCCCCCATCGCCTTTCTGCCGAGAGATCCTATGTCTCGTCCTAGTTTTGTTTGTAATTTGAGTTTATTTCATAACCTTTTATTTTTATTGTGTGTTCGCTGCGTTGTGTGGATTCCACAATTCAAAGCAATTGTTCGTACCAAAAAAGCGACGTCGTCAAATGTGTATGTATGCACAAGTCATTTTAAGGCTTTCGTTCCTTCATTACGCTTCGTGTGTGTGTCCCGTGTTGTCGTATTTCGTGACCCGCGCAATCTGAACCCTGCCAACAACACCGTACCCCATTGAACCAACCGCCTACCCACACCCCGCAACCCCTCCTCACAGGTACTGGGCCCGTTCTGCTTTCAAATCGGTTGGACTACCGGCAGTGTGACCTACTACCAAGGCGGCGATGGCGTGGGTGATGATGTGGGATCCGTCGGCTACGACCCTGTACGACAACTGCTGTGGTCCAACAGAGGCACGGACGATAAAACAGTCCCAGCCCAGGCCAGTCGACCCATGCAGAGCGGTGACGTGCTCGGTTTCTACATCGAGCTGTTTGAAAGGGCCAAGTACGGACGGTACACCTTTGCACTCAATGGCGAAGTGGTGGTGAGCCTTCACAGTCGCTTCCCGGTGAGTCCAGAGACGAGGTACTATCCTGCGGCGAGTTTTAATTATCAGCACCTGAGGTTTAACTTTGGCCAGCGGCCGTTCAAGTTCGAGCCCCCGCCGCACTACGAACCACTGGACGCGTGTGTGCACCAGGGAGACTACAACTTCGGGCTGGCTGTAAGTTATGTTGTATATTGAATGCTAAATTGAGTATTATACATATATGGGGATGATTTTTATATTATATATCTTATACTATATTATATGTTGTATGCTAGTGGGGCTGTAAATTGTATATTATATATCATATATTATGTTATGTTATATTCTACCGGGCCTGGGTGATATACTATTTGTTATATATTAATAGGTTGAGTTATATACTATATACTATTTTATATTTTATATACTAATGGGGCTGTGGCTCTCCATGAACTTCGTATCAGGATGACTTGGTGTGGTTCGACTACAAGCGTAGGCTAGTAATTTTGTGTGTCTCCACATGTGTAGTCCAGCGATAGAGTACTGCGCCTGCATTCACATCCGTACTTACTTTGTACAACATGTGCCCTGCGACAGCTGTACACGTTCTTTTCAAATATATAGCGCGCTCGGCCACGTATATCACACGCTTCGCTTGCTTTCCCCAGCTACATGCTCACCCCCATGCATCTGCCCATCCAACAGAGGATACCATCGGCCTACACGCGCCACCATGAACACATTGAAATTCTCAAGGGCAGGGCTTCTGGGCGCACCCCCACGCCGCTTGAAGGCATCAACGAGTGCCAGATATGCTTTGAAAAAGAGGCCGATGTCACCATCATGCCGTGCACGCACGACAGTATGTGTATGTCCTGTCTATTGCGATGCACCCATTGCCCCATGTGTCGGGTGCCGATCGAGGACAGGTTGACGAGTGAACGGCTACACAAGTACCAGGAAGCAGCGTGACGGGTCACCCACCTGCGCCTGTGAGCTAGAGTGACTGGCCCGGAGACAACCCAACTACGAATCCTATGCAAACGCACGCGTTGTTTGTCTGCGTGTATCACACTTAATCGCTGGTAAGCGACTTGGTGTATTTTAGAGCCGAATTTGTCTGATAACAGACATAGTGTTTGGATTTTCCCCCATCCCCACCCTCACCCTCACGTCCTCCCCTCCCATACCATCCGCTCCCATATGGAGACGTGCGTGCGTTTATATAGGCACGTATCCCTTTATAGTTTCAGATCAAACCATCGATATTGTGAGCTTCAGATCGGAAGCTTGCGGTGGTTTAGGCGTAAATAGTCGTATTCATGACACCACCCGATGCGAACTCCGTTCGTGCGCGTAGATTCTGGAGTATACAATATGGGCACCGATTGATTATACATACTTTTCAGCAGAATATACGAGGCAAGCCTACTACTTCAAAAATCAATACCGTGGAATTGCAAGAATCGACTGGCCTCAGTCGGATATATAATTAAAATTTTATCTCAGAACTATTACATTATATAATACAAGCAAATAGAATCGGGAAACTCAGTAGTATATTACATCTCGATCTATACATCAGCAGCATGTTGCTCTCTAATCGCTATTAACTTATGAATTTATATATATACATGTATACCTATATGTATATATGTATATGTACATATATATGTATATGTATATGTACATATATATGTATATGTACATATATATGTATACGTATATATATCTATATATATTAAATATATATGTATATATATTATAATATATATATATATATATATGTATAGGTTATTATAATATATATATGTGTGTATATGTATATATATATACATATATTTGTGTGTGTGTGTGTGTATAGAGGGTACAATGATATGTCGAATGCTGTTCATGAGATTATATGACCTCGATGTCTTCGCGAGGCAGTAGAATTAGCAATGAAGCGTGGCCCTATTTGGAGCAATGAAGCGCTATAGCTTTGTTCGTTCAATGTTGCGTATTGACCTTTGAGTTATGCTCGTGCGATTTTGTGAGGTACATTCTCACTGTCTATCCGCACAAATAGTTTCTGTTCCAGTTCCGTATGTTTGCGCACATGTATGCAGTCTGACGAACGCGTCGTCACAGATAGATTTATTTATGGATATACATTAGAAATGTAGGTTTTTTGTGTTAATACTCTGTGTATGTGTGAACCTTTCCTTGTGATAAATAATCTGCCAGAAATTAGTTTATTGAAAATACAGTGCACATTTCCATAACAGCAGAATCGGTAGCCCACAAGCGTTCAAAATTATAATATTTCCCTTTGATATCTCTACATTTCACAAACAGCAAAGGTGAATGCATATGTATTAGACCCCATTGTGCTTTTTTTGAGCCGGACATGGTTTTGCGAAGGAATTCAAATTATAGTCCTCTCCAACAAGGCAATTACATATCGTAGCAACCTTTATCAGCTGCGCTATCCATACTTGCGACCATAATAGAAGCGGATTCTCTCCATTCGGTAAGATCCAGCCGTCTTCTGTCATTCAGGCATATATGCTTAATGGTGCATAACCACCTGCAGTAACGCCAACTAGGCAAGCTTTGCTAGGTATGGAAATCGGTCGGCGTACTAAACTAAGATTGTTTAAAAATGTTCTCATGTATGCTATTGTATGCATTTTTATAATATTATTTCCTACCTTTTAGACGTATAAGGTTTGGGGGCTACGGTCACTATTGCGTGTGGATATTTTCAATTTGCACAAGACGGTTTGACAAGTCTGTGTTATGTTAAATTATAAGCAACTTTTTGTATGGGCCAGTGTATGGGAAATATTGTCTACCACCCCGAGATATATGCTTAAGGGCCGTTGGTGACAAATCGCTGGTGATTTCTTGTATCTACAGCAAGGCTTCTAGACAAGCAAAACGAACAGTGCATTAAACTAGATAAAGTTAAAAGAATGGTACATATGGTCTAGTGTATACATTTATGAGCAATATATTTCTAGTACTCAGGTCTACATACGGAAGGATCAAATAACTAATCGGTCAGTGTACTGAAGAAAAGCGCTTTGATTCACGCTCACTATTGACTGCAGATAATTCCCACCACCAGTAAGGCACCTACACAAGCTATGTCAAGTCTGTAAAATGATCATATTTTGCTAAGTTAGTTTAAAAGGAAGTTCATGTAAGGGCTAGTGTATTCATTTATAAGCAATGTTTTTCCAATTTATGAGCATATCTGTGTAGGGTGTATGACAACAAATAGAGAATCCTGAGAATCGGTCAAAGTACTAAACTGAATTGGTTTCAAAGGAAATTTGGGTATAATCTAGTCTACATACGTAATAGAAATCTTTTTCTACCACCCAGGTATGTATTCTTGGCAGGCCATTTTTTGCTATCAGAAAATATTTGCCAGCTACAACAAGACAACTAGACAAGCGTTACTATGTCTGTAAATTGGTCATTGTACTACGTTTAAAGTTGGCTTTGCTTTACCAGGCTGACTATATCATACTAAACGTTAAGTTAAATGAAATATGTCAAATTGTAGAAAGAAATTGTTCAGCTTCAGTTCTCGGTAATGTGCTAAAAATGAGGGGATTTCAGACTAAGGCTTTTGTCTATATTGTTCCGTTCTAATGACTCACTACTTCGGTCTACATTAATTTGGGTCCGAAGTTGGCTTTACCAGGCTGACTATAGCATACTAAACGTTAAGTTAAATGAATATGTCAAATTGTAGATAGAAATTAAGTTTAGCTTCAGCTCTCGGTAATGCGCTAAAAATCAGGGGATTTCAGACTAAGGCTTTTGTCTATATTGTTCTGTTCTAATGACTCACTACTTCGGTCTACATTAATTTGGTGTCAGCAACTGAGATTGGAGTCGTTCATTTGTCGCATTTATGCTTCGAAACAATCATCCAGTTATAAATGTCTATAAATCACGGCTGGGACGCCGCTGGGACGCCGTGGGGACTGAATCCGTATAATTGTAAGGAATAGTTTCTTTGTTCATGTTTCGGCTGAAAATATGTTTTTATTCTGGAAAGTTTTAATAGATTGAGGGTTATTTGTACACAACGGAATGACGAAGGAGTCGATTGAAGTACCATAGTCGAAACTTCCGCAATATTATTCAATCCGTCTGTTGGGATTGTACGTTTGATAGTGATATATATGGTTGTATTGTAACACGAGTTGATCGCAGGCTTAATTTCCTGGCATGTACGACATTACCGCTTCGTTAAATGCAGTGATATATGTATATACTTCAGTAGGTGGGCCGTTGCTAAAGCAATGCATCGGCGAATTGTACGTTTGATAGTGATATATATAGTTGTATAGTAACACGAGTTGATCGCAGGCTTAATTTCTTGGCATGTACGATATTACCGCTTCGTTAAATGCAGTGATATATGTATATACTTCAGTAGGTGGGCCGTTGCTAAAGCAATGCATCGGCGATCGCCTCTATGTTGAATATTGACCAATATAAAACGAAACGCTTGCATATTGCAATCACATAAACACGCTGTAACATGCGTAAGATGATTCCATTTACATGGAATCCATACCTCACAGTGAAAAAAAAATCGACTTTCCCATGGAAGTATTCAATATTCAACATAGGTTGGAACCGAAAAGGGTTTGAATTCAAACCCGGTCGGTTCCAACACTGAGAAAAGCG